TTAATCCTGTTTTAATTACATAATACGTATATAAAAAATTTTTGTTATTCTTAATATTACCTAATAATGACCATACCCGTTCAGAAGTTGCAGAATTAGGTGGAATTGATAAAAGTCGACATGCAAATTCACTTAAATTTGGGGTTGCACTTAGCATAGTACACCAGTATCTCAGTGGAAATTTTGTAAAACTTGGATTTTTAATAGATGACGCAGAAAATGGGCTCTCTTGATTTGCATAATTTAACCATTTATCAATAAATTGGTCTTGATTACGATCAGGATAAAAAGTGCAAAAAAGACTATACGCAGCTTCTTGAATATAAAAGCCATGTTGAATTTAATCCTTTACCATGATGATATGGATGAAGAAACCAGGTAATTAAAAAAACAGGATTATAGATTTTTTGTCAATAATTATCAATTTCTATTATTAATGAATCTTTAAAATCGTTATTAGTAAATGAGCTCTTATCAACAATTCCATGAAGCCATGCCCATGATGCAGCTACTTGACCTAATGTTGCCTTTTCTGTTTCAAGAATTTTTATAACATAGTCATATGGTTTTAACAACTTATAAAACAATTCAAGTTTCAACCAAAATTCACTATTATTAATAATATCAATTATAATATCACTTCCTTGTGAACATGATATTAAATAAGATGTATGTATAAAAGCGATAACCTAAAAATAAATATAGATTAGATATATATATATGTATATATAGTATGTATATGTATTAATTATACATATATTATTTAATATATATATATACTTTTAAATCTCTAAAATCATTTCAGCTGATTTTGTAAATGTTGTCCAATGGGTAATGTATGGATATTGAGGTTTTAATGTCGCATTACTAGCCAATTCTCTTAATTTGGACAATGCAAGATTTGAATTTCAAAAATGATTAACAATTACTAGCATATTTTTAATAACTGGTGTAAAAAATGTCAAATCAACTATTTTTTTAACTAATAAGTTGGTTTGGTGTACCATACATAGAATCGTTAAATCTCTACTGCCTATATCATAATCCTAAATATAATATTATATAGAAGAATATTAATATATATAATATATAAAACATTTATAGGCACGTTACTTTGATTGCTTCGATATCTTAAAAAAATAAAGTTGCTTGATACTGTATATCCGAATATTAGTTTAGATAATTAAAATATTTACCTCACGCATAAGACGTTGTACTTTTTTAAAATCGGGTCCACTATCTGAAATAAAAGCTATCCATTTATTTAATCCAAGACTTATTTCAATTTCCTTATATATAGCAAATATATTATTACTCGTATGATGCTGATCAGAGTAATTATCTATTTTTAAAATTTGACTCTTGTGCTTTTCATTTGTTATAATAAAATTTAACATGCCATTTTTTGAAACATTGGTCCATCCATCACCAGATAGTGTTAAAAACATAGAATCTGATATAAAATGTTGAATGCTGCATTGAACCTTTTCGTATATTTTATCTAAAATATCTGTACTTAGCCATTTGCACGATGGAAGTTTATACTCAGATTTTAGCATATGAAATAGTTTAATTACTTCAGGGTCTTCCACGAACAATAATGGTGCATTGGCTAAAATTAATGCTTTAAGTAATTGATAATTAATAGATGCTTTTTCTCCAATGGACAAAACTAAAGTATTTTTAACCTTTGATAAATCATTACAGTTATCGTTATAATTATCAACTTGAAGTAATAAATTATTATCAACTTGAGATAATAGATCATTATCATTATCAACTTGATTGTTTTTTTGTAAGTTTTTGGTTTTTTTAGTATTGGTGTTTTTTAAAATATTTTCGATATTATCACGTTTGTCTTGATGAATTTCTTCACATATTAGTAATAAATATTTAGCCATTTTTGAAGGTTCCCCAGAACAGTTTTGTTTGCAAAAATTACATTGTGCTAAATAGTGTGAACTGTTTAATTTTTCACCTTTACTAAACCATTGCCAAATTGGTTTTGTTTTTCTTCCTAATTTATGTTGAGGTGGCATTTGAATACTAGCGATGCAAGACTTTTTTAAAAACCTGGATGTTATATTGCTAATATTTATTATTTTCCTATAAACAATTAAAATGGACACAAAATTTTTTTGACCCAGGTGTTATATTGTTAGCATTTATTGTTTTTTTGTAAACAATTAAAGCAGAAGCCAGTCAAAATCTCAAGAAAAGCTGAAATTCTGACAGGTTCACATTAGGTTAGCATTAACTGAAGTCTGGTCAGAAATTCGGTTGTCAGGATTGTTTGATGGGAAGATTTGTTGGGATTTTGACCCAAACAATTACATACATATGCAGTTATTAAAATGCCTGCATAACAATTTTTAGCAATTACTGAAGTTACTAACTATTATTAACTATTATTAATTAATTAATAATTATTTAGTTATTAACTAAAAACTCGGTAGTCCCATCACTAGATATAATCATCATTTGATACGCAGCATTTTAAAAATAATGATTTTCGTAACTTACATATCACAATATGCCTCCAACTTTTAATATTAAAATAAAATTAAAAATTAAATAATTAAAAGATTAATACTGTATATAGAACATTCAACTATTCGACATAGAATAAAATTACCTCTTTTATAAACTCTTTATTGTAATGACTTGATCCATGAACTAATTTAAGCGCAAAAGTTCTCCATATGCTTTGCTTTTATTAAACTAGTCAGTGTAATATACTGTTGATTAAAATTCGATCAGGTCGAATGTTCATTCAGTCTTAATTCAACCTATGAAACTAAAAATCAACATCTTAATTTGACCTATGAATTTTATAGTCGAATAATTCAGCCTACGAAATTATTATTTTTAATTTTGACTATAAATTTATATATAGGTCGAATAAGATCAATTTTGTATATCGATTTTTAATTCCTTCGGCTGAATTAAAACTGTATATAACATTCGACCTGGTCGAATCGGGTGGGTGAAAAGTCTCTATACAGGTCCCCTTTTTTTACTATCTCCGCTAAGATTCATAGTAATCTTAAATACAATTTATATATATTATTGCAATGATTACTATTTTAGTGATTAAAAAAAATAAGGACCTGTATAGAGACTTTTCGCCAACCCGGTATATTCTACCAACCATCAGGATGATCCATATCAGCCACAATTCCCTTTTAGTAACAGTCCAACTAAGTTTATTTCTTTAGTATCCTCCATATTAGCAGGTATACATATACTTGATATATATATATATATATATATATATATATATATATAATAATTAAATGCTTCATATTCATTAGGGTTGGGGCACGGAAAATCATCACGTGGGGCACGGCATAACTCCCTAAATCATCACATGATAACAATTAGTAAAATATCACAAGGTAATTAATAATTTCCATGTGATAATAACATCACGTCCTCGTGCCCCTGTGACAAATTGAAATCACATCCCCGTGCCCCAACCCTAATATTCATCCTTTTCGATTTCGATTCCGTTTGGATAACAATGCCCAACCTGAATAGCACATTTGGATAATAAATAAATGCAATACCGTATAAGCGCGAAATAACGCACAGGGGTGTAATTTCGAAGTTTGGCCTAAATTAAGCTTGCCATTATTCAAAATAACGCTCCTGGGCATTTTCGCGCTTATACGGTACGTTCATCTTTTTTAACAAATATCAAGGTTAAAATATTCCGTAAGCATGTTCCATCCCTCATCTTAGCAGACTTTTGGTCGTAAGAGAATTCCTTATATTCATCCTTTTTAATTACAATCTCAATATCATAAAAAACCAACAATAAATGTTTTTTTAACATTTCCTATTATTGCAGATTTTTATAGCAAATGAATGCCTTGTATTTACCCTCTTCAACTCCAATTCTATTATAATAACAAACATCAACGTTGTATGTTCTATTATCTGTTATTGCTTCCCATGCTTAGCAAACCAATTGAAATATTCAAACCTCTTTCCTTAGTTCATGTTCTCATGATATTCAAAATAACAATATCTCTGTACATTTAGAATCTCTTTCCATATCTGAATTAATATTAGAGCTAGAAATAATCATGCAAACTAATTGTCCATCCTCATTGATGATTTCAATTGTCCCATCACTTCTTGTAGCAGCTATAATTTTAGAATCTAAACTCCAAACGAGACGTTTCCACTTAGAAAAAGTGTCACGCTTTGAATTGTAAATGGCATGATTTTTTTCAAACCCACTTTCACTAGTTCGAATTTCGATCTTGTGTTCTTGCAAAACTGCAAGATACTTCCCGTCTGGCGATAGTTGCATTAGCCATTCACTCGTTACTTTAGGACATTCTTGTAGAAGTGCCGGTGGAACTGTTGTAGAAATTATTAGCCCTTCTAAACTACGTTTCAGACGGTATGTGACTTGTTTGAAAACACGTCTTGGGAATTGTGCATAAGACGGATCTTCTTTAGTTTTAGTATACGTGTTAACTCGAGAATCATCATGATCAGCCAATTCATCATCAGGCTTCCAAATAGCAGCTACATCGATATCATAAAGTATACGTTCTGAACGATTTTCGGATGTTAAAATGTCTGACATTCTTCTCTCAACTTTGATTTCATTACCGTTATTACCGTTACAAAGATAGGTTTATTAACTTCTATAATCCTAAGCCACCGCCGAATTTTAATATGCACGTGTAACATAAAATTAGCTAATGATGATGATATACTGTATTGGTATTTCTAGTTTAGTCCTTACGATCACATGAATTTGCATAGCTAAATAATTTGATTGGTTAAAACAGATAAGTTGATAACGATTAGCGTTAGTTGCTTCCGAAAGTTTTAATCGATTAATCGATTTTTTGATTCGTATTACCAGTCACAGGACATGTCTATATGAGTGCTGTTACTTATAAATCAAATAAGTTGACTCACCTCAATTTAATATGTAAA